TTTTTTTTTACACTCCCTTATTAAGAATGTGATATTTGTCTTAATGCCACAATACTTAGTATTAAGAAAGTAAAGAAAACATTTGAGGAAATACCCACACATGCCTTCGCCAGAGTTATAATCCCTCCTGCACGTCCACTTTAGCCAGTGTGAGAGACAGGACCCCAGGTTAGCTGTGATCTGACCCGGTATGTGCTTGACGTGGTGTCCCATGAGATGGTCTCATTTCATTCAATGAATACCTCCCTGTTTCCCCATTTTAGGTACCTCGTGCAAAGATGTCAAGTGCATTGCTGCTTGCCTTCCTATTTCCGATGCTGCTGTCAGGAGCTTGGTTTCCCAAAAGTTTGCCCTGTGATGTTAAAGCCTCTGAAGGTGAGGTGGCAGTGGACTGCACAGATCGACATCTCACAGAAGTCCCCAGAGGGATCCCTGCAAACGCTACCAACCTCACCCTGAGTATTAACCACATCCCTCATATCTACCCAACATCCTTTGCTCATCTGGAAAACCTCGTGGAAATTGACTTCAGATGCAACTGTGTGCCTGTCAAAACAGGGCCCAAAGATCACGTGTGCACCACAAGACCAAACATTGAAAATGGCAGTTTTGCCGCCCTGAGAAGACTGAAGTCATTGTATTTGGATGCCAACCAGCTGTTGGAAATACCCCGGGGTCTTCCTACTGCTTTACGTCTGCTCAGCCTGGAAGCAAACACGATCTTTTCTATCCAAAAAGCCAATTTGTCGGAGCTAGGGAACATAGAAGTATTGTATCTGGGACAGAACTGCTACTACCGCAACCCCTGCAATGTTTCATTTGAAATTGAAGAAACAGCCTTTCTGGTGATGAAAAAACTAACAGTACTATCCCTGAAGTCCAACAACTTAACTCGTATTCCACCCAGTTTGTCATCTACTTTAAAGGAACTGTATATTTACAACAACATGATTCAAGTGATCCAAGAGCATGATTTGAGTGCCCTTCACAACCTCGAAATTCTCGACCTAAGTGGTAATTGCCCACGTTGCTATAACGCCCCATATCCGTGTACCCCCTGCCCCAAGAATACCATTGAGATCCATTCAAAGGCTTTTTCCTCCCTGAAAAACTTGAGAATTCTGCGACTTCGCAGTAACTCCCTTCGCAGCATACCCAGCAGCTGGTTTGAAAACACCAGGCATCTCAAAGAGCTTGACCTCTCCCAGAACTTCCTCACGAAGGAGATCGGAGATGCTCAGTTTTTGCAATTCATCCCGAGTCTTGTCGTGCTTGACCTGTCCTTTAATTTTGAAGTGAAGATGTATTCTCCATACTTAAATCTGTCTAAGACATTTTCTTCCCTCTCTAACCTGGAAACCCTGAGGCTCAGGGGTTATGTCTTTAAAGAACTCAGAGAAGAAAATCTAGAACCGTTGCTCAGTCT